AAGATAAGGAACAAGACGAGAATGTCTGCTCTCACCATTTCTATTCAACATTGTACTAGAGATTTTAGCCAGAGCAATTAGGCGAGAAAAAAATTGCATTAAAAGCATCCAGAATGAAAAAGAAAGGAGGAAAACTATCTCTATTCATAGATGATGTGATTTGCATATATAAAATATACAAACTAAGGAATTCACTTAAAAATAATTAGAATTAATAGAAGAGCTCATCTAAGTTGTGGGATACAAAATTAAGATACAGAAAACAATTGTATGTCTAACATTTGCAATTAAGAATCTGAAAATACAATTTAAAAAACAATTCTGGCCAGGCACGGTGGCTCACGCCTGTAATTCCAGCACTTTGGGAGGCCAAGGCAGGCCTTGAGGTCAGGCATTGGAGACCATCCTGACCAACAGGATGAAACCCTGTCTCTACTAAAACTACAAAATTAGCTGGGCATTGCAGCACATGCCTGTAATCCCAGCTACTTAGGAGGCTGAGGCAGGAGAATTGCTTGAACCCAGGAAGCAGAGGTTGCAGTGAGCCAAGATCGTGCCATTGCACTCCAGCCTGGGCAACAAGAGCGAAACTCTGTCTCAAAAAAAAAAAAAAGAAAGAAAGAAAGAAAAAGAAAAAGAAAAAATCTATTTATAATGGCATCAAAAAGAAAATACTTAGAAATGTACTTAACAAAAGAGGTATAAAACTTATGCTCTGAAAACTAAAACATTGTTGAAAGAAATTAAAGAAGACCTAAATAAATTGAAAGGTATTCCATGTTCATGGATTAGAAAACTTAACATTATTAAGATAACAATATCTCCCCAAATGATCTATTTCTATCAAATGCAATTTCTATCAAAATCCCAGCTGGGTTGTTTGCAGAAATTTACAGGCTGATTCTAAGATTCATATGGAAATTCAACAGACCCAGAATAGCCAGAACAATCTTGAAAAGAACAACTTTGAAGGACTCATACTTCCCAATTTGAAGACTTAGTACACAGCTATAGTTATCAACACAGGCATAAAGCTAGACATGTAGATTAAGGGACTAGAATTGGAAATCCACAAATAAACCCTCATATTTATGGTCAATTGATTTTCCACAAGGGTGCCAAGACCTTTGGGAACAGAATGGTCTTTTCAACAAATGGTGTTTGGAAGAATGAAAGTGCACATGCAAAAGAATGTGGTTGGACCCCTCCTTCACATCATATTCAAAATTGACTCAAAGTAGATCCAAAACTTAAATGTAACAGCAAAAGCTATAAAACCCTATAAGAAAACATTAGTATAAATCTCTGTGACCTTGAACTTGGCAATGGAATCTTGAATATGACATCAAAAGCATAAGCAAAAAGGAAAAGTAGATACATTAGACTTGATCGATATTAAAACGTTTGCACTTCAAATGACAGTATCAAGAAAGCAAAGAAGACCGGGCGCGGTCGTTCACACCTGTAATCCCAGCATTTTGGGAGGCCAAGGCGGGCGAATCAAGAGGTCAAGATATGGAGACCATCCTGGCCAAAGTGGTGAAACCCCCGTCTCTACTAAAAATACAAAAATTAGTTGGGTGTGGTGGCGCCTGCCTGTAGTCCCAGCTACTCTGGAGGCTAAGGCA